CTGTAGAGGCAATATGCTCTGTCCTTAAGAAGACAGCATGTTGCTTTCCAGTGGGTTCTTAGCTTTTTATCTAGCTAACCCTAAAGAAGGGCTTAGGTGACCTCCAGCGAAGGTGTCATTTGACTGCACTGTAAAGTATTTGGAGAAGGAAGGCTGGAGAATCTTAACACTTTCTCCTGTCTCATGTTTAATGACATTTAGCTATGCATTTCTCCACAGACCTTGCATTTTCCAGCAGAAGAGTTGGATTATCCCTTTGTGGACCATGTTTTATTTGTAAATCTTAAGATAATTTTCCTATATACCTTGAAGTAGTAAGGCCAGAGTTACTGCTGCAAGGGAAATGGGGGTGGGTGGGAAGCATATTTTCACATGCTTGCACTTGGGACTTGTGCATGTTAAGAACATATGCATTTCAAAGAGTCTGCCAATCTCTTAAACACTATATGTAGCTGTATGAAACAAAAGAAAAAATAGATGAGCTAAAATCTGTCTTGTTGCAGAGCTATAAGGCTTATGTGGATTTTATTTATCAAGAAGAAAACGAGCTTGCATCACCAGTAACGCTGCTGAAGCACTTGGGGTAGCAATACATTATCTTGCCGTTAGGCGGTGTCAAAACACAAGACCACTAGAAAATAAGTCTGCAAAGGTGTAGAGGCAGGCATCCTCTCCACCTGCAAAGCTAAAACTGTCCTTTTTTTACCACCAATTTCTGGTCTCCATCTTCACCTTGCTAAATTTTCAGGAAAGTTGACTTTCTTTGTGGAAGTGGTAAAGTATCAACTCTTGATCAGCCTGTTTTCACCAGGTGCAGCTGTCTGGTTCAGACACCTCCAAGCTTTGGGACGGGATGTGGAGGAGTCATGATTCTGTAGAGATCCTCTAGGGAAGTCATGGAAGGAGGGCCCCAAGCTCACTGGCTGGCTGGGATCATTTTAAAGCATGTGTATTCTGATGATGGAATTTGAGGTTTGTGTAGTTTCTTTTTTCTAAATTGCTGTGGAGACAATTCCATCACAGCATTGTTTTCGGTGAGGGGAATTTTCAGGTTGGACCTGGTTCCCTCGTGCTGTTCTGTAAGGCAGTTTGGACAGTCCCTCCACTGCTCATGTTACAGTTTCTGCAGTGATGGACATGCTGTGCCAACGGGGAACTTAAAAGTGGTGCTAAATTGTTTGGAAGATGTTTTCCTAGAACTTGGAGGTTTAAGTTATTAGCACTTTCTCCTCATAAATAGTATGCATATAGTGGACTATCCTCCAGTCCAGCTGTCAACTCTTTTCCTGAATTTTGTTGTTTTGGTTTTGAGGGGTGGAGCAGGAGCGCTTTCCCCTTCGGAAGTGGTTTTCTCAGCATTCATTCAACAGAGCAATGTAAAACTCTTAATTATCCTGGCTTCTTAGGGTCATAAACATCGAATAACATCGGTAGCTTTTAGGGGATCTGAAATTGTGGGCTTGGAAAAACTCATTAATCATGAACGTGAGTCAATTGGCTCATGTCTGTCAATGTGGATTTTACAAAATCTTTGTAGCATGGAATAGTTGATGAAGAATAATTCTCAGATGTGTAAGTAGTATTCAAATTTAAAGAAAAAATAATATTTTAGTTGAAAAATGTTGTGAAGCTATGCATCCTGGACCTGGGAGCTGTGACTTACACTTAAATGCATAAGCTTTTGCTCTCCATTTCTTTGATCATTTTAGGTTGGTTGTTCCGTCAGAAGCAAAAGAAAATATTTGTGTGTTTCCTTTTCTTCTAATTGATAAAATTATCTTTGGTTTCTGAAGCTAGTCTTTTAATCTGAGTCTAGTCTAGTAGACTGATCTAGAAAGCGAGGAGGAAACAGCTTATTAAGGTGGGCTTGTCTTTGGAGAACATTAATAAGAGTTCCCTAAAACCTGAAATTGCCAAGAGTCTCCACTTGATTGAGTGACTAATGGGTCATGAGCTTTTTAGAGTCAAATATTTTGCAAATAGGAGCTAGTTTCCTCAAGGTATGTGTTCAGAGTTAGAAAATGTTCTTGAGGTTGCATGCCTGAGCTCTGACCTATTTGTTTCTGACGTTCAGTCAAGAATAATAAATCGGCTTTTCTGAGAATCCTTGTTGTTGCAAGTTCAGCCACAAAATAAGCTTTTGCATCTTCTGCAATTATTGGGATTTATGCCTTCCTGCCCAACAGCTAAGTTTGGCCACCTATAATTTCTCTCATTTTGAGCAGTTCAGTTTTTCTGGTTTTCAGAAATGCAGCAAACTAGATGTGCACTAGTATCTTCAGTTTCTGCTTTGAAGTAAGATGAAATTCAGTTCATAGTGAAAAGAATATCTTCTAGTATTCATCTTGGAAGCCTAAATTCAGATGAACAGACCAATTTAGTGAGCTCCACTAGATACTTGGTAGACAATTTCTTCCTGCTGTATATTTTGGCCTTACATTGAGGAGTTTGATTTATTATTAAATTATTTGTGTATGCAGACTTTAATCTGTATGTACTTTACTTTTATGTATTAGGATTTGTAAATATTACTGATTTTTAAATATTATTTATGCACATACTTAAAGGACTGGTCTATCCAGAAGAGCAATTGCTAAATAATAAATGTTACTTTTTAGAAACAAATTGCAAGATCATTAAATTGTATATCCCTCAGGGTTATTTTTGAAGTTTTTTTTTCGTCAGAGTCAAATAACAGTAACTAGCTTCATGTGTTATAGAAGTAAATCTACTGTAAAAAGAAAAATGCTACGAATAATGCTTGAGTAGAAGTGACTAAAACACCCACAGGACTGACTGTCCACGTTCATCATAACTTTAAATTGGAAACTGTTACTGTTGCACTTTTTAAAAGTCGTTGGATTTTTAATTCTATTTATTTTTTCTTCATGAAGGTTGTGCTGAACAGTCATCCCAAATTGGGTAAATAATCCTGTACTGTATATGTATATACAGTATAATGCTAAGCAGATGTGGAGTCCTTTTTATGCTGCAAATTTTTAATCCTTATGTTGGTCATCACAAAATGAGAGAGCTAAAGTTCTGTAGGATTTCTCCCGTGAAATTCTGAATTGTAAACTTAGGGTTTTGTATGTCTAAGGGAAAGCTGTGGGTTTTTGACAATTTTTAGAGTCTTGAATATGTTGATTTTATACAGTAAAGCTTCAGGTTTTTAAAGCTATTTTCAACAAACTGCAGCTTGTTTGATAATTACGTGAACCAGAAACTACTCAGTTTGTCATGAATTGCTCAAGCTTAACACAGATTAAAAGGTTCATCATTACAATGCTCTCTAGAAGCTCAGCTTCCTTTTCATTTTTAGATTGGAAATGATGCTACATCTTGTATTTAAAATACGTATTGCTGCTCTAGAATGGTACCCTGTTGTCAAGAGGCATACATAAATAACTGTACAATAGAATTGTAAATAGACTTGTAAATCTTTTTTGTGACTGAAGCTCTTTGAAAATAAAATGAAAATGAACAGATATTTTCATTCCTTTCATTAGTTTCATGAAATGGTTTTTAATTTTTCTTTATACAGTTAGCTTGCTGAAGAAGACACTTCCTCTCACTGATGTGATAGGTGTCTTGTTCAGTGCCTGTGTTTTCGGAGGAGGGGATGGAGGAGTGTGTTCCCCGTTAGCTGTGTGTGCAGGAGCACTGCTGCTCTGCACTGGGATAACACCCACCACACTGTAACTGGTGGCTTATCAGAGCCATTTTAAACCCAGACCTTGTACAGGTGACAGCAGCATGTTACCACCTTCTGTTATCCACACGTTCCTTCTGTTCTTTGACATGTGGGAGGCATGATCTTGAAAAGGCTCCTGGGCAAATGTTGTGAGCTGTTGCTGTTTTCACAGTCATCTGCAGAAAAATCTGATGGAAATGAAGACCTCTTCCATCCTGCAGCTCACCTTCCATTTAAACATTCATTGGCAGAGCACATAATTTTGAACTTGGAAGACAAGATATTTGAAATATCTGATGATTTCATTACAAAAACTTGTTATCAATTTAAAGCTAATATTTTGATAACTTAAAGCTTTTTCTGTCTTCAGACCCTTTTAGGCTTTAGGTTTTGTTGGCATGTGACTCCAGAAGACCTGGAGGAAAAGCAGAAACCAAATGGGTCAGCCCTGAACTGCTTGGCCAACACACTGTGTAAATCCATCCTTCCTTATGCAAATTGCTTTCACTCCAGTCTTGCAAGAAAGTAAAAGTCAGAGCAGTCTTGTGAAGGTACACATCAACCACTTGGCTGTTTAAAGTAGTCGTGTCCATTCCTTCAAACCCTAGTGCATCTGTGTAGCAGACTGTAGTGAAACTGTAACAAATTTGAAATTTCTGATCATATTTCATATTGAAATGTAGAATCTGACTTTCCCCAGGTTTGCATTGGGTTGGTTGAAGCCTATACTCCAGTGTTGCTGTCAAAAGTGGTTTTTGTGCTATTGCACGTGTGAAACTTTCCCATGAGTGGTCTCAAGTTCTACATTTGGAGTTGCGTAAAGCCTATGGAAGCTGGTTGCTTGCACAACCAAATGTAGGCAAAAATCTGCTTTGAAGCTTAAAATATTACTTGGCCTTTCACAATGGTTGCAGAAATGTGGGTGAACGTGTTATCTAGAGGATGCGCTTTGCTGTCATACTTCCCATGGAAAGTGCAGAATCATGGTGAAGCCTGATTGCCTGCTCTACTCCCTAGTAACTTCCTCTAAAGAGCAGATAAGTTTCTAAGGTACAGTTCAAAATTGCTTTTCATGCTCAACAGTTTAGGAACTTGCAAGAAAATAAAGTTAAACACTAGAGTAAATGTGTGCTCATTGTTCTATGAAACGAAGTCGAAAAGTGATTTGTAGCTTTTAATTTAGTATCAGTATTAATGTATTGCCTCTGGCATCCTTTCATCCTTGAGAAACATTAAGGGGTTGGTAGAAAGGGAAAATGTAGACCAGGGCATGGTAAATGACCAGCCAGGCTGGTGCCCTTTCTGGAATGCCAGGTGTCTTATGTGAGGCTCTGAGGCAGTTAATACACAGGAAGGTATGACTATGACCTTCATGTGGATTTTGGTGTATTCTCCACTATTCAGATATTCAGCTGGGGAAGTTAAAACATTGTTTAAATATTTCTTTTAAAAATATCATTAGCAGCTCTAGATGTTTGAGAACCATAGGATTATCCAGTTCCTGTGCCAGTCATAGAATCATAGAATTGTTTAGGCTGGAAAAGACCTCTACCATCGAGTCCAACTGTTAACCCAGCACTGCCAGGTCACCACTAAACCATGTCCCTCAGCACCACATCTGCACATCTCTTAAATGCCTCCAGGGATGGTGACTCCACCACTTCCCTGGGCAGCCTGTTCCAGGGCTTGACAACCATTTTTCTTAAGAATTTTTTCCTAATATCCAACAGAAACCCTCCCCTGACACAACTTGAGGCCATTTCCTCTTGTCCTATCAATTGTTACCTGGGAGAAGAGACTGATCCCCACCTTGCTACAACCTCCTTTCAGGTCGTTGTAGAGGGTGATAAGGTTTGCCCCGAGCCTCCTTTTCTCCAGGCTGAACAACCCCAGGTCCCTCAGCTGCTCCTCAGAAGATTTCTGCTCTAGACCCTTCACCATCTCTGTTGCCTTTCTTTGGACACACTCCAGCACCTCCATGTCCTTGTAGTGAGGTGCCCAAAACTGAGCACAGTTTTCAAGGTGCAGCCTCACCAGTGCTGAATCATGCTTGTGGCCTTAATGTCTTGCAAAGACTTCCTACCATTTCATTGTTTGAGGAAATGTATGTCTTCTAGCACTTCTGAGTGTCAAATCTTGTCTTGTTGAATATTCTCTTACATTTTGTTGCAATACCAGGAGAACAGACATCCCCAGTCTACAGTCTAGCATCAGCATGTTTCTGATTTTACAGACTCTGTCTTGCAGTCATACCTTCTGAGGGACCTGCATGTGCAATCTGTAGCACAATAATTGGGGTGTTCAGTTTTGGTGGGGTTTTTTCCCCCGTTTGGTTCTCTGGATCCTCACTTCTCCCATCTCACTGTATCCTATAGTTCTGCTGCAGTCTTGGGTTGGGTTGGTGCGGGTTGAGGTGCCACTCGGGGCTTGAAACAGGAATTTCTTTGTGTTTCTGCCCTGTGTGGAGGGTTGTGCTCCTGCACTGCCCAGAAGCAGCTCACCAGCTGCCTCCTGTGGGCTGAGGTGCTTGTCCTGGGTTCACAGGGGTGTGCTCGGCAGGGGCAGCTTGCTGAGGTGCCATTAGGTAGGATCAGAGACAGGCTGGCTTACGAGTTTGAAGTTAAGGCATCACTGTTTTATGGGAGATGGTTTTGGGGTGGCAGGGATTACTAGGAGGGTGAGATTCTCTGAAAGATTCTTGTTTGACATAAAGTCTTTTGGAAGGGTGAAATCTCACAGCCTTTTTCTGGTGGCTTGCAGTCTCATTCAAAGAGTTGTAGAAAGATGGATACCACTAGATGCCATGTCTGTTCCTTCCAAAGGAAGGGTTGCAGATTTTACCAGTCTTCAGTACTCTGAACATAAACAATTTTTTTTTCAAAAGTATTCCCTTCAACTTTTTTATGGTGCAGCAGCTGTTCTTGATCCATGGTGGTATGTTCTTGTCAGCAGTTCCAGCATGCAAGAAGCTCTGCTGTCCCACCTGACTTCTTTTTAAGTGATGGGGTTTGTACACAGGTCTGTTTGTGGGGATGGTGTGGGAGAGATCCTTGCCATTGGAAAAAGGGTGTTGGAATGGAGCCCTCCACTCCCCCACTGTTCTCAGTATTGAAGATGGTGTCAGCTATTCCAGTTAGCCTGCAGAATTTGTCCATCAAGCCAATAAATCATTTTGGTTGGAAGAAACCTTTAAGATAATCAAGTCCAACTGTTATCCCTGCACTCCAGGTCACCGCTAAACCATGTTCCTCAGCAACACATCTACAGATCTTTTAAACCCCTCCAGGGATAGGGACTCGACCACTTCCCTGGGCTCTGGTGCTGTAGAGCCCTTTGGGTGAAGTATTCCAGCAGTCCCAGCTGCTGCCTCGCCCACTGCTCAGCCAGGTGCTCGACTTCCACGTTTCTGATACACTTGGACTTACTGATTTCACTGAGGAGGTATTTATAAACTGTGGATTTCTGTTTGACTTGCTCTTTTAAATATTATTGCTATAACTGCAATGATTGCTTTCTTGTTGCTTTGTTTGTGTTTGGAAATGTATACAACTTCCCAAATTTGTGGTATGTTTCATGCAGATCTACTTTTTTTGCTACCACTTTCTCGCTAACTTCTTTCCTCTCATTTCATAGTATTTTTAATACCACTAATAAGTCAGTAGTGTGTTAAGCTGTTGAAATGAGACTTGTTGGTTATCAGAGGCTCACTACTGTCCAGTGCTACATGAGCTCTTGTGTGTTATTTCAGGCTGTGTCAAAAATAGCCTGTTGCTTCTTGTGTGTTCTTGGGCTGTTCCAAGAAGTGATCACTTGCAAATGCTGAGAGATAATGTAACAGAACTGGGTGCTCTTGTAGCTTTTGGCCACTTAAAATATAGGGCACTGTTTTTACCTCCATTATCTGATTTTGCAGGCTAAACTTTATTTTTAAACCTCAGGTAACCTACAGCAAAAAAAAATACTGTGGGTACAGGACCTCCTGATATATTTTTTTGAAGGCTTTCTGTGTGTAACTTAGTATAATGGTTTTCTGTTTAAACAAATACACACCTTATGATTAAAGAGTTTCATCATGATTTTCCTATGCTTTTGTTATACTTGACTAGTATGAATATAATCAAGGAATGCTTGATTTACTAAAGAGCTTTATCTGAACTTCTCAGTGTAAGCTGAGCACCTTAGAAATATTTGCAGTTAACAGTAATAGAGATTTTGAAATTTGCTTTCAAGCCAAGAGAAATCATGCACATGCTTTTGCAGTTTTATGATATATTCACACAGCTTCATTGTCTGCTAAGTTATTAACTATCTGTGATCAAATGCTGAGTCTCTCTTATCTCTTGTAACAGCTAATGTTTCTGGCACAACAAGGATGTTGGTGTTTCATTTGTCAGTGATGATCAAGCTTTTCTTCCAGTTGGATGCATCTGTTTGTCCTGAGAAGTGTGACTGCTCTTCAAAAAATGCAATTCATTGCTCTGGTCCCCACATAAAAGACCTGGAATCATTAAATCTGCCCTGCAACATGACAGAAATTCACATAACGGACACTAATGTAACACACTTGCAGGATGTTTTTTCTAGGATGGTGGAACTGCAGCATCTCATCTTGTCTTCGAACAACATCTCTCTGATCTCACCAATGGCTTTTAAAGGCTTGAGAAGGTTAAAAGCCCTCAAACTGCTAGATAATAAGCTGGTTGAACTTCCCCCAGAAGTTTTTGATGACATGGTAGAGCTTCAAAAATTGATCATTGAAAATAACAGGTTGAAATCTATTGAAGAAAATCTCTTTGACAAACTAGCTAGTTTGGAGGATCTTTTCTTGAACAAAAACAGACTGACAGCACTTCCTAGTGGTCTCCTGAAGAAACTTGCCAAACTCAAAGTACTGAACTTATCGAGAAACTACTTGGCAACACTGCCTAGAAATATATTTAGTGCATTAACCAGGCTTGAGAAGCTGATGCTGTATTTTAACAGGCTCTCTTCAATAGAATCTGGTATGTTTGATAGCCTGAAGGAGCTTCTGGAGCTCTTCCTGCATTGCAATAACATCCAATCCATTGCCCCTGATGCATTTCATTGTCTTCATAAATTGAGAAGCTTAACGCTCTCCAGAAACAAGCTTGAGGCTTTGCCTCCTGGACTCTTTCTACACTTGCATGACCTGTCTAAATTGACCTTGTACAAGAACCCACTGAAGTCTCTTCCAGAAGTATTGTTTGGAGAAATGAGGCATCTTGGTAGCCTGTGGCTGTATCACACAAAGCTCTCAACAATACCAGATTTTGTGTTCAGCAACTTGACAAATTTAGAGCTTCTTGTGCTGAGTTTTAATCCAGAGCTTAGTGTTCTTCCTAAGAATGTGTTCAATGGTCTGACTGAACTGAGAGGCCTTTCTCTGCATACAAATAACATTTCCAGTTTGCCAGAGGGCATCTTCCTGAGCCTTCAGAAACTGCAGAACATTTCTCTTTTTGATAAGAGGCTTGAAGTTCTTCCCAGAAACCTCCTTCATAATCTCAAGCAACTTCAGAAAGTTTACCTGAATAGTACTAAGCTCCAGTCTCTTCCTGGAGACTTCTTTACCGCCTTACCTGAGCTGCAAGAAGTCTTCCTTGACAACAACCCTTGGAGATGCGATTGCCAAATTCTTGGCTTCCAAGAGTGGCTCCAAAAGAGCACGGAGATAGTTAAAAATGTACCCTCTCTAACATGTCACAGCCCACTCGCACTACAGAATATTTCTCTTGTGGCTCTAACAGTGGATCACCTGAAGTGCCTGCCAACCACAGCTGTTACGTACCAGACGTTCAGCTCAGCTTCTTCCCAGGCTTCGACTTCTCTTGTGATGGTGCCCTTCACATCATCTTGGGAGTCTACTGTAACAGCAGTGTCCGACGTGGCTACCAGCACACCCACATCGATTCCTCTTACAACTCCAGGTTTTACCTACTCGCACGTTGAAGGTTTTGGACAGCACAGGTTTCATTTTCCAGATGTTCCAAACCAAATTTCTCCCAGCATCGCAGTACAAACTAGCAGTGTCAGAGGAACAGCTATAACTACTCTTGCCTGGTGGGATGAGTTGCCAGCCCACAGGAGTGCTAAACCCTATTTTAATACCAGAATTGCTTATTGTCAGCTATTCTTGTGCCTTCACAGTTTGATTTTGGCACTCCAGACTGTAACCATTGTGCTTAGTCTGTATGTGATGGGTAAAACCAGGCAGCTCTTGCAGTCCAGAACTAATGCTGCTCAGCCTGTAGTTCTGATAAAATTTTTAAGAAGATAGAGAATACCGGCCAAAGAGATGATTGATTTGGATGCGTTTTGAGCAGCTGACACAATTCTGATATGGATTATAAATCTTCATAGCAAGAACCACAAAGACCTTGTCAGTACAGCATGATGAAAACACACTGTTATGTACCTTACAGCGTTTGCCAAAAGTGGTTGTAATCACCGTGTAGTGCCTGGTGCCTGAACCCAGAGGGAGAGCTGAAAGAAAACCTGTGGTCACCTCCAGGCATGTACTGCTAGTTTCCTGCTTTGGACTGCAGCCCTGTCCCTGCCAGGCACCACTGCTTGCTCCTGTGCTCACGCTGCTCGGATGGAGGTGGCATCAATGTCCTGAAGTCTCCACAGGAACGTGGCTTTAGCTGTGCTTTAAAGATTGCCCCCAGTACTCCAAATGCTGTTATGCCTTACACTGCCTGCAATGTCGTGTCTTCTTCCTGAGAAAATAAATGGTGGTTTTGGGAGGAGGTGCTGGAAAAGACCTTTTAAAGGAGGGGGTGAGAGCAGAATGGTATGGTGCAAGTGTCTTAGTTCTTGCTTTGTGTCGTCAGCCCCTTTCCAGGACCTGGCAGGAGGAAGGCAGGTACCTTTTAAGGCTAACCATGCCAGAGAAAGGTAAGAAAGATGCTGCGCTAGGAAGTATAATCTTGATGTATTTTGGGGGGGGGGTTGCTTGATTTTTTTTTTTCAAACTTTGCAATGTTACCGCCCTGAATTTTAAGGAAATGTTTTCGTCCCTAAGCTTTTATCAGTGGTCAGAACAGCAAGATGTGACTGGCTGCATGATGCAGTGAGCCTTGGAACCAAAGCACTAGGCAGATGCCCAGGATGGAGGCTTGGCTCCACAGGAGCATAGCTGGCTTGAGAGCTGCTCTTGACTGAGCTGGGAGAGAAAGGGACGGTCTCTCATGGGCTTGGCTAGCAAACACAGGCGTGGAGCAAAGTGGCAGGGAGCCTGCCTGGAGTGAGGGCCCTCAAGCGTCACCATCTCTTTTGAAGTTGGCTGGGGAACATCTGCGTCTCCATCAAATTGCAGCGTGCTGTAGCATATTCAGTCTTTGTATTTTTTTACTTTTTCTTCTTAGGTAGTATTACTCCCTGACTTTCCATCCCTTTCAAGTGCTGATACGCAAAGGCAGCTATGAGGCAATAGTGTGGATTTTGGTTTTCATACTGACACATTTATTTATATTTTGAATTATATGAATATTTTAGTTTGTAAGTAGACTGGTAGCTGTCAGACTGCGTGTGCTTTGGTAGCTCTTGGATTTAACTATTAGCTTTTATCTTATGTGACCTAGCTTGTTCTTGAAAGCCCTGATGTGCTCAAAAGCATCTGGATGTGGTTGTTTCCCTGTCCTCTTGGGGCACAGACACTACACTCAAGGGGTCCTTTCATAGCCTTACTGACTTTCTGACTGTTGAGGTCTTTCCTGGATGCCCTCGAAGTGGCACATTATGAGGTTGAGGCGAAGAAAGCTTGCATTTGCTTCAGGTTTGTGGCTTGTTCCCTGCTGTGTGTTACTTGAGGCCATGAGGATGAACTATAGACTGCTTCATTTCAGGGTGCTCTGCTGCTGGACTTGAATTCCTCCTATGCTGTGAAAACAGGCAATGTACTTCCGTGGTGTTAACTAACCGTTGTATTACTGGTCAAGCTTAACAAAATTTAGCAAGCCTGGCTAAGTGATAGTTAAAGCTATCTCTAAAGAAGGAGAAATATAAGTCACTACAGATGGTGCAAAGCAAACTGGGACTGGATTCATTAACAGAGGCTCCAGAATATTTGTTGCAGTATTTTTGAGAGAAGCACAAAAGCACCATGAAGCTTTCTTGTTGTTGGTTCTGGGTGGTTGCATGCTAGTGCTTAGAAGGAGGCAGCTGTTATAATTTTAGGTTCTTGGTTGGACATCTGTAATGACCACTTAGTCTTGTGCCAGCTCCAGTGCTGTCGTTCCAGTGCCACGCAAGCATCTGCTCACAGCAGGCAGCAGATAAGTATAATCTGGACTAAGGAGGGAAGGACTGTACAAACCATGCTGGTGGTTGTTTGCCTCAGTGAGGCACTGAAGGATTGTGGGCACTCAGATGCACAGTCTGATTTCTAAGAAACACAGCACTTCAGTCACCTTGTGGGTGGGTATACGACAGCCTGGGTCCAGCCTCGGGAAGAGCAGTGGGTTGGCAGCAGCTGCCATCTTCCTGAACCCCCCTTTGGCCACCCAGCCCTGCAGCGAGGCCAGCTGGGTCTCCGTGCTGCTCGCTGGCTCCTGTTCCTCCATTGCTGAGCTCTGGCACGTGGGGGCTCTGGCACACGGCTCCAGACAGTCGAGTGCTGAGAGGATGATTCGTCTTCACATGCTGTCATCAGGCTTTCCCCACGCTTGAGCCAGACGGGGAAGTGAAGTCAGCAGACAACAAAAGGCTGGAGCAATAAGGGCCTGACGTGTTTTACTGACTCTTCCTCTGAGGTGTCCTGTTTTGAGCTGCCTCTGATTCATTGCTTGTTGCCCAGCAGAGCTCAGCCCTTCCTGCAAAACTCCCTAGCCTGGGAAATCCAAGGATGTGCTTACTCATATTCCACCTCCATTCGCCTGGAGGAGGGACAGTCTTCCAGGTCAGCGTGACAGCAGCTGTGTCATGGGGGGAGGCAGGAGAGAGCTGCATCTCAGACCTTCTCTCTGGGTGTTACTGCCTTGCTGCTGTCTCAGGGCACAGCTGGCTTGCCTTCACTAGTGGACTGGCAAGGTTCTTCCCGGTCCCTGCAGCTCACACTTCCATGATCTACTGCCCAACCTTCGCCACCAGGCTGGGCTTGGCATTTGATACTTCCAACCTTTCGCAGTCCATTGTCCCCCCAGCAGGTGGTGAGGAGGGAATTAACTGCTGCCCTAAGTGCCAGCAGCTCTCTGCCTGTTTCCCACCTGCTGCAGGGCCCTTGCAAGCCACCAGCAACCACGTCCACTGCTTGTGTCCCTGCTGTCCCTGTCCTTTCTGTCTCACCTTTGCCACAGGAGGCCAGGAGCAGCTGGAGGGCCCTTGCAGAGGGGAGGGAGCTCAGGTAGGCACTTAGTAAATGCAGCTCAGCCCTCCAGCACCCAGCAGCAAGGTGGGAGCCTGCACCTCGATGCCAAACAGAAGCTGGGCATGGCAGATGTACTTGAAGACAGGCAGCAGGGCTGTGCTGCTGTGGTGTGTGCCACTGCTGCGTGTGAGGCAGGAGCTGGGGGAGCCTCTGCCTGACGTTAGAGAGTATGGGATGTGTCTCCTCCAGGGCTCTGACCAGCACATCTAGCCCGGGGGTGCTGATTCAGCAGCTGTGATATCGGAGCAGTACATATCCCGGGGATGACAGAATAGCTGGGAGGAGATGCAGCCAAAGGAACGTAACCCCGCAACAAGGCTGGGGTTGGGAGTGCTGGCAGCATCTCCCAGTGTTCAGGAGGCCTGCAGCTCCTGCTTTGCCTCTGCTCCACCAGGCGACGGGCAAGCTATGGAGGTGTTATGCCTCCGTTTTCCTAGCCAAAGTCTGGGTTTGCATGCCCTGCCCTCCTGGGTGTTTATGGGTGCTAAGCTCTGGCACAGCGCTTTGCCTGTACTGTGGGGGATGAGCCCCACTGCATTACGGGGCAGGGGGCTGCTGCTCCCGTGGCACCCGGAGACACCCTGCCCGGGGCTCAGCCCCTCCTGTGCAGTCACTGCTGCGGGACTGTCCCGTTTCTCCCAGCCGTGCCTTTGTGTCTCTCTAGATGTAAAAAGCTCAGGGCAGGGAGCCAGTGACGGCTGGCAGAGGCTCGGCAGCCTGCTCTGCACTCCTCGGCTGGCTTCTCCGGGGGAGAGATGGGGCTCCTTCCCCACTGGGGTTTTGGGAAGGGGTCCCTGGGGCTCTCCCTGGTGCCAGGGAGGGCTTTATGCAGATGGAGAGTGGGATGAAGGGGATGCAGCAAACGCCTGGCAGCTCCCGAGCAGGGACAGCCCCCGCCAGCCCCTGCTGCTCCGGGCGGTCCCTCCCCCTCTCGCAGTGCCCACGGACGAGCTCTTTCCGCCTCGGATTATCTCTGCAGGCGGACTTGGCCGCAACCCCGCATTCCTTCCAGCGCAGCGCTGCCCGCAGCCCACGCCGAGCCCTGCGTGCCGCTGCTATCGCTCGGGCCAGGGCCAAGCCTGGAGGGGGCGGTTCTGCTGTCCGGGTGAGCCCCACTGGTGCTGGAGATCCAAAACGCTGTTTCCTTGAGCTCTAGGACAGCTGTGGTGGGTCTTGTGCTGTTGCTTGGATGGAGGCTGGCCTAATGGCCATCCCTGCTGCTGATCCTGGAGGAATCACAGCTGCTGCTCACGCACTTCTCCGGGGAAGGCAGGACATGTGGGGACATGTGGCCCCATCCCTTAGCACAGATGAGCCATGAGCAGTGAGGCAGACCTGGCCCTGCATTCCTCAAGCAGGCAGGAGAAGAGCTGTGGTGGCTGGCCCTAGGGCGAAGCAATCTGGATTGGGCTCCTCAAAGCGTTAGGGGGTCATGTGGTGGGAAAGGGGCTGCTGGTGCCTCTCTAATGGGTGGTGGGGGCCTCGGCGCTGGTCCCTGAGGGTCTCATGTACCTTCCTTCATCCCTCAGCTGTGGCTCGAGACCATGCATCCTGCTGCAGGGCTGAGGCCCAGAAGTGCCTCTGGGTGCTGGAGCACTGGGGGGACCCCTCCCCTGGCCCCCAGCACTCCACCCTCCTCCTCTGCTTCAGCAAAGCAAAGTTTGGCCCCGTGCCCTGGGCCAGCTGGTCTCCATGAGCACCAGGTTTCACTGCTGGGGGTTTCTCACAGCCTGCTGGCCGCTTTGCAGCCGTGCAAAATAACCGGGGGGTCCCATCCCTCCCGGGGTGCCGGCTCAGGCGGGAGCTGGAGGTTTGTGGGGCGCAGGGGCGGCCAGGCCGTGCAGCCGCGTGGCGGAGGGAGCGTGCTCGGCTGCTTGGCAGATGAGCAAGGCCCTTTCCTGGCCAAGCCCACAAGCTGCTAATTTTAGTGATTGCAAGAGTTTTTCCAAAGAGTCTCAAGTCCCTCGATTCAGAGCTGCTCAGCTTTGCTGCATCTGCCGCTGCAGCCGTGGGGGTGTGACAGCATGGACAGACCCGGCACCGCTCCTCTTCCGGGGCTCTAGAAGCTCCCTGGCTGGTGGTGTTTCGGGGCTGAGTTTGTCACAGGGGAGCACCAGGGCTTCTGCAAGAGGTCATGGAACAGGCAGGAGTGCTGCTGGGGTTGGGACCCCAGGCTGCTTTTGGCACAAGGGGCTTGGAGAGCGTGGCTAAGGGTGGTCTGTTCCTGGCCCTGCCAGCCTCTGGGAATCCCAGGCAGGGTTGCGTCAAAGTGCAAGGGGTAACCCCAGCTGTGACCACTTGCCACAGGCCCTCCGGCCCTCCTGTGGGCTCAGCAGCAAGTGCTGGGGGCACTGGGGTGCACAGGCACCTCCAGCCTCAGCTGCGACTGCCGGTGCCTGCTGGGCTGTGGGACAGCACCACATGCTCTTGCTTTTCCCTCCACAGCAGCATTTGGCCACTGCACTTGGTGAGAAATCAGAAACCTGCATTTGTGCAGGTGAGGAGGGCTGGGGGGCTCTCCAGGAAAGAGCTGTGACCAGAGGGTTTGCTGTCAGCCCCACCTCATGGGGTCAAAGGGTCTGGCAAGTGCCCACCCTTGGGCTCCATCATCCCCTTAGAGGCGTAGGGGCATGGCAGTGACTCCATGTCATCCCCGGCTTGGTCTGGGGGTTTTGATCATTCTCTGGCTGGTGCAGCTGGAGGTGGGGAAGGACCCCAGAGCACTGCTGGGTGCTGGGGCTTTCCTGTGGAGCGAGGCTTGCTCCGTTCCATCCAGCACTGTGGGTGCTCCCAGCTGAGGAGCAGCCTCTCTCTGCAAAACGCTTATCTCACCCTCAATCACTTCCACGTGCTGTCTCGGGGCGCTGCCTCTCCCCTCCAGCTGTGCAGGGTGTGTCTGTGCAGCTGTCCCGAACTCTCACACTCTCTGCTCCTCTCCCCTGCACGTAGCCTGGGGGCCAGCTCCTGTGTGCTCACCTCCAGGAGTGGTTCCCTCTCCACAGTGGGTGCAGCACATGGGCTTGTGCTGTTATTCAGCCATGCCTGAGTTTTAGGGATGTTTTGAAAACAGACTTGTCCTTCCCAGCCAGGAGCCAGAGCCCCGGTGGAGGCAGCTGTGTTTTAGCAGGGCTGTTACCTGGGCTCCTCTGGAACTTTGGGCACTTTGCGTGGCTGTAGGGACCACAACCTCATCACTCTCTTCGTGGGGACAGGGTGTGTGAGGGTACCCACCACAGCATCCCTGTTCCCCCCGGGCAGTGCTGCTTGGAAGGAGCCGAGGCTGACACTCCTCTGTCAGACTGGGCTTGCGACGGTGGCTTTTTGGAAGTGCTGGGGTTGAATTTCTGTGTTGCCTTACTGAAAAGCTGTGTGCTTCTGGGATGAGTCAGAGCAGACAGGAACCCAGCAGCACTGGCACTGGCAGTGGGCAGACAGAGCCAGTGATAAGAGTGTGATAAGGCCATAGGAGCCCTGCTCTTGCGCCAGGGCTGCAGGCAGTGGCCAGCTCCCAAGCCAGCTGCATTGCTGTCAAGGAAGTGGGGAGGCTATTTTGGGAACCATGGTGCTGGGAAAATCTTCTGTGTCAATACAGCATGAGCGAAAGCACTTGTGGGTGGTGTTTCCAAAATGCCCCTTCCCTGTGCCCAAATGCCTGGGCTTTGCCCCAGGAGCAGGCAGGGAGCATGTCCGGGTGGTAGCCCCAGCTTTGGTGCTCACTGCCCAGCCAGGGAGGGATCCATGGCCACCCAGCACATCCCACAGCAGCCAGGCCCCCCGTGCAAGCTGACATATCGGCAGTGGTCGCCTACAGCCAAGGTCCCACTCCCTACCCTCTTCCCACGATCCCTGTCACCTTCCTTCGAGTCTGGCTGGAAACTCCCCTCTCCATCCCTGCAGTGTGCTGCTCAGCCTTGTCTGGTCGCTTCTTCGAACAGAGTCCCTGTCCCCTGCACGGCCCCGCTCCCTCCTACCCGTCGTGGCACACGGTGCCGGGGACGAGCCCCCTTCCTGCCCGCTCCCCGGCAGCAGCCCCCTGCTCTGCCCTTCCTGGGCAGCTGTTAGCGCTGCCCGGGCCCGCAGCAGGGGCTGCTCGGCTGGCAGGAACGTGGGTGGGCTGAGACCGGAT